TAGGTAAGCTAACCATCGCAAAGGACCCTCGTGGAGCAGTAATGCTCCGGCCCCCCCTCAACGGCATGGTATGATAAAGAGCTTGAATGTCTAGATGCCGTTTCGAGAGCAGCAAAGTTGCGATTTCTTGCTAATATAGTGGCCTATAGTTACCTACACTATTTCGGGGGTTCCTTACTATAATTCTGAGATAATATATCCCAGAACCCTATTCCAATATTAAGGCCCCTACATTAGCTTAACACATCCCTGTTCTGCATCATGCATGATTCTTCGCAGTACCTTCGTTGGAAAGGCTTACAGTTACTCCCAGCCGTTGCTGCGGCCATCGCTGCTTCCATCACTGCTCTGAGTACTTAGTAAGAGTATCATCCTTGTTGTTGGCCTGACCATGCTGCATTCGTCGTGTAGTCGTCGACTGGTGGAGACTGTGGTCGTGGTGGTGATTGCCGCAATACTAGTCGTCGCAGTGATATCCTTAGTTTTAGTGGTTGTGGTAGCATAGATGCAATGACTTGATGCCTCAGCTCAAAAGGATCTTGCTAAACAGGGCCTAAGTAATTGCCAATACTAGTTTTGCGGGCTCCTCATTAGAATTATAGTTTAATATGCCCCAGAATCCTGTTTTAATTATTGAGGCCCCTCTGTTTGGGTGCTCGCGATCTGCCCTTGCAGTCCCACTGTCCTCCAGAGCCCAGGCGAATAGTGCAGGCCAATAACATCTGTGGAAGGCTCGTGTTGACGGGTGACGTAGCGCTCATAGGCTCTGGAATGTATGGTTACTTCTCCCAAAGGGTCCTAAGTAACTATATAGTAGAATGTTGGGTTTCCATATTAGGAGTTACTACCCTAAACCCTAAACCCTAAACCCTAAACCCTAAACTACTATGTTATAGGGAAGTATCCCCAATAACTGTACTTAGGAGCCTCTGGGTCTCTTAGGGCTTGCAGATGCTCTGCAGCCTGTAGGGCTTGCGGGGCTTTCTTGTTGTTGATTCACAAGTTCCCAGGAGGTGAAGCAGAAATGTCAGCCAATCCGAAATCCATGCTTGCCATACCCGAAACCGCACATGTTGGAGAACAGCTGTCCTTCTTGAACAGGTTGACTTCAACGTAAGATCTTGACCATAGTGCTTACTTCATGAAGATGTCGCCCGTCCCAATTCTCAACACAACTCGACGCACAAATCCTCGTTACAACCACTGCATTATTGTCGTGGTAATCCTAGGTGTTGGTTATTAGTACTGCCCTCGGGTTCCTCATTATAGTCATACAATATTATGCCCCAAAAATCGTGTTTGGGGTTATAAGTATAGTTACCCTAATTATAACCCTACTTACTAAGTCCCATGATCCTCCAAGTACCTCTTTTTTGTATGCCGGCCTCATAGATTCGTTTCTCTGTCTGACTCCTCCTGAGCTTAGAACCTGTAGCAAGATTTATGTACTCATCTGTGTGCGTGCACGCGTAGAGTGAGGGCATGTGTTCGTGTTGTCCATGTACCGTATAGGCTCATCTAGACAGATGGCTGAGACCAACAGGGGTCGACATAGTCTTAGTAGAACTAATTGCATATTCGACAAATTGGTGCACACATCGACCGAGGAGGCGACAGATAGATCGATAGACTGATCCATGAAACACAGGTTCATCGATGGATAGAGATCTACGAGCATGTAGAGTTACTCATATGATGATGATGATGATGATGATGATGATGATGAGATGTCTTGGAAATCTCGCAGGCCCTGCAGCGGACCCAAAGTGGTCACGAAAGCCGGTGGGCATCTTTGCGTGCCCGATGATAGGCACCCTGCTGGTTGATGGGGTTTTAGGGTTTAGGCTTTGGGGTTTAGCATTTGGGGTCTAGGGTTTAGGATTTAGGGTCTAGGGTTTAGGATTTAGGGTTTAGGGTTTAGGGTTGGTAGGGATTGACTCATGTCTTCCGATGAGGATCCTGGTTGGATCCCTGTGTTTCTCCTGCTTGACATACACACGATTTAGGGTTTAGGGGACGCCGCCGAGGTTTCACTGAATATGGAGATTGGGGGATCATTTCAGCTGCTGAAGAATCCTAAACCCTAAACCTCTAAAGCTCTAAACCCGCTGATCCCCTAAACCTTAAACCCTAACCCCTAAAGCCCCAACCCCGAAACACCAAACCCACTAACCCCAAACCCAAGCCCCCAAACCCCAAACCCCCAAACCCCTAAACCCCAAAACCCTAAACCCTAAACCCTAAACTGCTGAAGAGTCATTGGTCTGTCAACTCTCGCCTCCACCGGATCCTCGACCTCGAGCTTGGTCTTTTCTACACCCCTACTTCTATCGGCACTATAGGGTTTAGGGCCAAGGGTTTAGGGTTTAGGATTTTGCTTTTAGGGTTGTGGGTTTAGGGTTTAGGGTTTAGGATTTTGCTTTTAGGGTTTAGGGTTCAGGGTTTAGGGCTGTTGATGATATAAATCCTGCATTACCTTAAGGATCCTAAACGTTGGGAATGATGGTCCAGTCCTTAGTATGGGTAATGCAGGATTGATATTATCAACCCTAGGGGTGTCATGAGCAAGTCCGGTAGTGGCTCTTGAAGCTTGTTCAGTGTGGTATATACCCCAAAACTCCAAGGTCTTATTTCAAGATTCAAGTATATGATTTTTTACAATGGCGCACAAGCGTCTACGCTTGAAAGGTCTCACTTCTTCGGTGTATTTTTTAGGGGGTCGGCTACTTGTGGCTCCATGGTGGACTACAGCCCTTGTAGTGACGGCAGGCCTTTGGGGCTTTAAAGGGTTTGGGGCTAAGGGTTTGGGTTTCAGGGTTGAAGAGTTTAAGGTTTAGGGTTTAAGCATTTAGGGTTTAGTGGCGTAGTGAGAACCAAACCGAACGCGCGGATCCTGTCGAAACCTTGGATCGTGAGATCCTCAAGATCTATATGATGGTTTGGGCACCTGCAAAAAGGGACGACGCCCTCAACCCTAAACCCCTAAACCCTTAACCCTAAATCAGGAAGAGACGGACTCTGACCATCTCACAACTCCGGAGAACTTGACCGAACTTCTCGAAGCAGCAAAGCCCAAGGTAGTCGTTACCGCGCCTTGTCTAAGCAACCTTATGGAATTTCGACAAATCTCAACAATGGAGGCCTCCGAAGGGTTTAGGGTTTAGGGGTTTAGGGTTTAGGGTTTAGGGTTTAGGGTTTGGGTAAAGATAGCGTGCTGTTTGATTGTTCTAGTTTCCAGATCCTTTAACAGGGTTGGGTTGCAGTGTGCCGGAATGCGATGCTAAGCTAGATACTCGGAAAGAGCAAACGCCTCCGATGGCAGTCGGAAATAGGAACAGCCTCCGATGGCGATGCCAAGCTTCAAAGAGCAAATGCCTCGGAAGGCGATGACAAACTGGATACCCGGCAACAGCCAAGCTAGATATTCGGAAAGAGGAATCGCCAGTCTTCCACCCAAACAGGCAATCCTTTGACAGCCCCGTGACTATTTAAAGGATCTGGAGACTTAGCAAGTGATTTATTTGGCTTCAGGTACACCTGGATATATCCTAGTTGTATCCAGTGTAGTCATTCCCCCCTTACTGAATGTACGGACTATCTCCTAAACCCTAAACCCTAAACCCTAAACCCTATACCCTAAACCCTAAGCACTAAACCAGCTGTTCAAGAGCAGCTGAGCTGCGCAGCAGGTGTAGCATGCTGGGGAACGTCGACTGCCAGTGGACAGCCCTGGGCTCGGTTTGTTGAGCTTGGGTTTAGGGTTTAGGGTTCAGGGTTTAGGGTTTGGGGTTTAGGGGTCAGGGTTTGGGGTTTAGGGTTTAGGGTTTAGGGCTTTCGTGCCTGCAAGGGGGTGAGGTTTAGCTGTAAGTTACATGGTCAAGCGTAGGGGATGTCACCACGGGCCGGATCAGCTGCCCTTACAAAACCCTGTTTAGAGACACGGGTTTGTCAGGCTTTGGGTACCGGTTTTTAGAGCGCTCCAGAGTATAGCGCTACTGTTGCAGTCCACTTGCGTTCCTTGAAGGGTTTATTGGTCAAGATCTTGGGCTGCTCTCCTACTATGAACTTGAGCGAAAAACAGTTTAGAGTTTTACAGGTGGTTTATTTCTTTTGCAGTCTAGGGCTTGGGGCTTGTAGAGCTTGGGGTTGTCAGGATTCAGGGTCTAGGATTCGACAGAAAGTCTGTGCGAGTTCTGTATGAATACCTCGCGAGGCATAGCCTAGCTGTCGTGTGGCTCAGCGGGCCATTGGTTTGGCATGTCGTTCTGCCGACAGAGCCCGCGTCACACTCAGCCAAGGAGTGGTCTACGTGGAGCCACACGTGCATCAACATAGAAGTGGACCAGTCGCGTGCTGAGCTGCCGAGCCATGAAGGGACGGCCCTGCCCCCTCAGGTCTTCCCGAGCTTCCGACTTCAAGCATGTACAGCTCAGGAATTCGATTCGTTCACATGTCATGAACCAACCGACTCTCTCTCTCTCTCTCTCTTTTACATATAATGTTGAATGATATAAACGACTAGACACAAACAAATGAACAAGTACACGAACCTCTTACATAATAAAGTACATAAACACATTCAGAGCTGGATAGGTATTATGCGTACAGACCGGGTTGCTGTTTGGCCAGACACAGGCCCCAACAGACTTCTGTATATTCTAGGTATATGTATGTATCTATGTGTGTCTGTACATATGAATACATAGTTAAATAGTTATCTATCTGTTTGTTTATTTTATTCGCATTTGTAATAAACCTTTTGAAGTACACACACAGAGAGATCAACCGATTCCGTCCTGCGGGGGTGAGGGCAAGTGTAATGTAGGGGCCTTTTGAATTACCTATACGATTTGTGGGGGGTTCCTCATTATACTTTTCGTCTAATATACCCCAAACCCTAAACCCTA